TTCACTTTTATTGGGAATAACTAAATTTATTTAAAATTTATATTTATTAATAATAAAGAAAACTATATTTTAGATTTAAGGAAGAGCTAAGTTCGGGTATAACCTAATATTTCATACTCTTGTAACTTGCATGGATTATAATCAGGAAAGTATCTTCAGCTACATAAGGTTTACTAGTTATATGGAGTCTAGGAAAAGTTTATTTTATTCATTTTAAGCACAATTATACACCGTTATATACAAAAACAAAACTCACATTTTGTCTGATGTGTGCGATATAAAGTCTCCCGGAAGTATATTAAACGGAAAAAAACTAGTTTCAAGTAAATTCATACAAAATATTGATAATCAAAAATTGAAATAAAACTCACTTTATGCTCATATATATTGCAGTAAATATATAAATGTAAAAATTAACATTTATATACACTTCGCATATTTATTAATTTTTTTAATAGTATTTTTCATATTTAAATTAATAATCAATTCAATAATAATAATATTTAAACTAAGGACTGTAGCGTGGCAGACATAAAAATATTATCGGCAATAATAACAATTGATCAATTGCAATAAATTTGATAATCATTCATTTTCATTTTTATATAAATTCTTTAATATTATATTTTTGCGCTATATAAAAAATTATGTAACAAAACAAATAATGTCTTTATGCGTTTATTGTAACAAATTACAAAATAATAATGATTAAAAGCAATTATAAGCAATGCACATAAATTTATATACTTATCGCTAATATTAAGTTAGTAAATTTTTTTTATGAAATTTAACATAGTAAAATTATAACAAGTCGAGCTGAGAATTTATTTTAAGGGAAGGGGTAGGGGGGTTGTAAGAAGTACATTTGCTAACACAGGCATGACTGGAAGTTGACTGGCAAATGACGTCATAAGCAGAATTTGAGAATGAAGAATTCAATTTCAAATTTAGAGGTTAAATGGGCTAAGAAATCAAAGCAGGAGAAAAATATACCACAGTCTTTTTTAATAGAAGAGTGCATGTATGTATGTATGTATCCACTTTATCTTTGTTTATTTTTTTTTTTTTTGTTTTTTGCAAGTTTCTTCCACATGATTGCGTCAAGCAGCATGAAATTATATAACTATTTTCACAATTGATTTTTGTAGCATTTTTGTTGTGTTTAAATGTAACAGCGCTGTTCTTTAAAATATTTTGTTTTTTAATTTTACAACCTCTCTTCAGTTGAAATGGCAACTTTTTTAGACATTTATTTATATACAAATATGAATATGTGTGTGAATGCATGTATTTTGATGTGGATTGCTATCTGCTGGGGCAGCTGAGTGAGCAAAGCATAACAAGGCAATAATTATAAATTAAAAAGTGTATATACATATGTATTTAGAATAGGCCGCGATAAGAGTTTATTAAGAAAGTGTATTGCTCCGTTAATGTTTTTCGTTTTTTTTTTTTTTGGTCGTTACAAAAGAAAAATATAAAGTTTTATTTACATATGTTCGAATTAGGTCTGAATTAAAAATCTGTCTCTTATACACATCTCCGCGATAAGAGTTTATTAAGAAAGTGTATTGCTCCGTTAATGTTTTTCGTTTTTTTTTTTTTTGGTCGTTACAAAAGAAAAATATAAAGTTTTATTTACATATGTTCGAATTAGGTCTGAATTAAAAATTTATTTATATAAATCAAACCCACAATATTCAATATTAATTTTTGCAATTTTAACAGAAATTTATTAATAAAACCGCTGCTACATGGCCAAATGCCTCTCACTTATACAACATTTTCTAGTGAGTATATTTATAAAACATAATTTAATTAAATAAATAAATAAAACAAACCACAATTTCGCAAATAACTACAAAGAAATTCAATATATGTGTAAACAAGTTTTTGTACTACTTATAGATTTATACTATAATTAAATTTCGAAAATTCAATATTTCATTTAAGAAAACTTGCGGGAATCTAGTTAGAGAAACAAGTCTAAAAATTATATAAATGTAAGAAACACACAGCACTTAGTAAACTATTGCTTTATGCTAAAAATTAAAAACGGCCATATTTATGTATATGTATATTGCATTAAATTGTGAACAATTTTCGCACAATTTTTTATACTATTCTCAGTGAAATAATAATTGTTAAAAACAAAAATTGCAAAAAGTAAATTTTACTAACCGCACTTAAGTCAACTTTATCCCGTTTAACACTCTGTCACATTTGTATAGCAAACAATCCAGAGCGCCAATAAGCAAAAGCACTAATAAATAAATAAATTGCGCAATTTTGAAAAATCTCTCTCTTCATTGGTTTTTCTTCATATTTCATTTGATTTTTGATTTATGTAAATATGTATAACATTTCATTGAAAATGTTTTTTATGTATGTATGTTTGCTTAAATGCTACTAAATTAGGCAAATTAGTTTTCGTTTTGTTTTTATTTTTATAAATCTCTTAATCCTGCACCGTTGCTGATTGCATATTTGCCGTAAGTTTTCCGCTACTTTTACTATTTTGGACTTATGCGCATAAACTTCACTATTTCTATAATTCACGTGGCACACAAAACATCATCATTTGTGGAACTAAACTTATTTTGTATTAAATTAAATGACCGAAAATTATTTAGTTTTATGTACAAATTGGCATTTTTTCGTTATTTTACTATGTTGTTGTTGTTACTTGCAACTACACTGTTTTATTTGCAATTTTTAAATAATTTCCACTTGAAGCACTGCTTTCTACAAAAGTGCGCCTTCAACTTGCTATGCCTCACTTGGAACTTATTTGCGCTTTATAGATTTCTTGACCTACTACATACATGCATTTAGTGAGCAGTGTTGCCTTGCTAAGGTTTGCTTTTAAATTTTACTATTATTAAATTAACTTCCTCACTCACTTCCACCCTAGCTTCGTTCGCACTGCGTTTTGTTGTTGCTGTTTATATTACAATTGCAAATAAATTCAGCATTTTAATTTCATATACATTAAAAAAGAGTATGTATGCTCAGTTTTGCAAGCGTTATGCAAACTTGAAATTCAATTTATAAATATATATAATATTATTATTAATTTAAAAAAGAAACTCCTACACAAAATTAGTTGCCTAAAGTATAATCCATAGCTTAAGCAATACGCTTAAAAAACATACGCACATTATATTCAAGAAAAAAAAAATTGTATATATAGCAAACAAATATTCCTATGTGCATGTAACCGTATGTTGTAGTTGTTTTTATATTCTTTCATATACTTTTTTTAATGTAGCGCGTGTGTAATTCTATATAAATATATTCTATTAATCATCTTCATCCGAAGAGTTCGAGGATAATTGCAGATCGTTTTGCAGCAAATCACTTGTAAATGCACCATTGTTGGTGTGGCTATTATTAGACGCATAGCCAGACGAAGGCGTATTGCGATTGTATTGTGGCGCAGCTGTAGACATTGGTGGCAACGCTGACATCAAATTGGGCAATTGATGCATTTGATGTTGCGCCTGTTGTTGTTGTTGTTGTTGATCCTCTTCATCACTGCTGTCGTCGGAGTCGCTGGCACAATCACTGCCGCTCGAATCCGAGCTGGAACTCGAACTGGATGAGCTAAGACCGCGTATTTGCTGTAAAAAAGAATGTTACAGTTATTAATCATTTCATATAAATGTATGTATGTAAATGTATTGGGTGTAATGGCGAGAATTAACAACTCACCTGTTCAAGCTGCGCCGCCGCACTTGCCATGGCTGCATCGCTGTCATGCGGCGATGACATGCCTGGCATATTGTGTTGTTGTTGTTGTGTCTGATTATGTTGCAACATTTGATTGCCCATGGACATATTGTTGCTACTGTGATAGCCACCAGTAGCACCGTTAGACATTTGCATTGAGGACGATGAGTTTGTCGGGTACATGCGATTGTTGTTGGATTGCTGTTGTGGCTGTTGGTAGAGATTGTGCTGTTGCTGCCTTTGCTGCTGCTGCTGCTGTGCAAAAGTTTGTGGCGAGGAAGCTAAAACAAAAATAGAATTTGTAAAATTAAAATTGAAATTTAAAAAGAAAAATTCAAAAGAACAAAAAAATTAAAACAAAAATATTATATGTTTCAATATTCGGAAAAGTTAATAACTTATTTATAATTTGTTTCTTTAATACTATAAAAAGCACTCAACATACTTCGTTGCTCCATGCGGTTGTGCTTCGTCTGTTTGCCATGACTCTGTGTTATTGCCGCCGCATTCGTGGCCGACGTCGTCGTCGCTGCGTTCAAATTGTTTTGTCGTTTCTGATTGTTGCGATGCGATTGCTTAGACTGTTTAGTCGGCGCCGTTTGCTGTTGCAGCTGATGCTGCTGCTGCGTTTGCATGTGATAATCGTGCCCTGAATTGTTATGACTCGACGCGGAGGACGATGAAGACATATTTGCCGCATCACTGCCACTGCCACTGTGCGTTTGACTATTGCCGGTGGCGGCGGCGGTCAGTCCAAACATGCCATCATCGTCGTCATCGAAGATCATTGGAATGCTGGGCAGCGTGGCTTGCGTATTATTCGCATTCCAGCTGTGGCAATAAAAAAAAAATGTAAATAATAAATTAATCAATTAAATTACACAACAATTATATGTGCATATTATGTAATACTTACGCCGGTGCTGATTGTGGACTTTTGTGTATGGATGGCGGTGCAGACGGGGACGCTGATGCGGATGGCGAGTTTCTTGGCTTAAAATCAACTGCAAGAAATGAAGACGCGACGTTAGAAATTTTGTCAAAATAAAAGCACATAGCTGGAAATATAACTGTGTATTTGTATATGACTTTGATCGGGTGAACTTACTTATATTATTACGACGACTCCCTGTCGACACTTTCGTCTTCGATGTGATGCGCATCGTACTATTCTCTAGTTTTTGCTGCGGTGCTACATTCGCGCTAGCAGCTATCGCACTTGGTTTGTTTGTCATCTCACTCCTGGAAAAAAGTTAAAGAAGATTTTTTTGGTAAAAATTAAAAACTTATTTGAGTATATATATAAATAATATGTATAAAAATACTATAAATAAATAATTATGATTATTTTTCATTCAGAAGAAATCCGGATAAATCGAGTGATCTTTGTTTTTTAAAACTAAAATAAAATTTATCATAATTTCGGACATATTTGAATAAATACAAAAATAAACGTTTTATATTAATCGGATATCCATAATAGCTAGGATAGGTATCCGTACGGATATCTGAATATTCCAACAAGCGGAGAGTTTTTATAAACAAAATAAGTAAAGTTAAAATAGATATTGAAACAGAATCATTTCAAACATTTAAACTTTCAATGTAAAAAAATTGAATATGAAAATTGTTTCAAAAAACAAAAATTCTATAGTGCGAATAATAACCCTTTCTGCATTTTCTATAAAAAATATAAAGAAAAAAGCAACATAAAAAAATTTACGAAAATTTCTGCAAAATAAAATAAAAAGTATGACATAAATTTAACATTTTGTATTGTCCTTTTTCTTTT